AGGGTGCGGTGGAGGGGGCTCCCGGCACGATTAGCCGGAGTCAGACTCTGCCTTCAAGGGCCGTCGGCCTGGGGAGCCCATCCCCACGCGTGCCGGCCAGGCTCCCCGGAAGCGGCAAGGCCTCCCCTCGGGGCTGTGGACTTCAAGAAGCAGGGTGAGACACCCCCAAGGGCCCCCCTCCCTCGGCCGGGATGCTGCAGAACGGAAGACCCAAATCTTGCTAAGAAGGCGACAGCCCCCTCCCCGGATGACCATGAGGCCTGGCCCCCATTGCCCCTCCACAGGAGTCCTCCTGACCCCCAGGAAGCGGAAGCGGAGGCAGGCAGGCAGGCTGGGCATTCCCCAAGCGCCCAAGCCGAAAGGGAGGAAGGCGAGGCTCCAAGGACAGCGGGAAGGAGGAAAGAGAAAGAGGGCAGGGAGGGACTCGGGGAGGGGCAGCCCGGGGTCAGGAAGTCCACAGGCTTTCCGGGAAGGAGGGAGCCCTCCCCCCCCCCACGGCTCTCTCCCCAAGACGGGGGTCCTGCACAGAGTGGGCACCGGCTGAAGGCTCGCCACGTCCTGCCTCCCGGGCCCCACAGCGGCCCCCAAGCAGGGAATCACAGAGTTGCGTGGGGCCTGGGAGGTCTTCTAGTCCAACCCCCTGCTCAGGCAGGAGACCCCGCACCCCCCCCCCAGACAGATGGAGAGGAGCCTTCCAGGATCCGAGGGGCTGCCCCAAAGAAGAGGGGGTCCATCCAGAGCCCCCGAAGGCAGGAGAAGAAGCAACGGGTAGAAACTAACCCAGCGGAGAAGCAACCTGGAATCAAGGAGAAACTTCCCCATAGGGAGGACCATTAACCAGGGGAACTGCCTGCCACCAGGAGTTGTGGGCGCTTCATCACTGGAAGTTTTTAAGGAGAGCCCGGACAGCCACTTGTCTGGAACGCTCAGCTGGGACTCAGCTCAGCTTTGCTTGAGCTGGGGGCTGGACTAGAAGACCTCCGAGGCCCCTCTAGCTCGGTTCTTCTGTTCCTTTATAAAGTCTAAGCCGGAGTCCAAGACCGCAAGACCCCTTTGGCGTTTCTCTCTTGGGCAGGAGAGCGCATCCCCCCCCCCCCGGCGCCTCCGCCCCACGGCCCGCGGGGCTCCCCCCGACCCGCCTTTGCGCCCCCCCCGCCCCCCTCCCCCCGGGGCCCCTCACCCCCCCCCCCCCCCCCCCCCCCGGCCGTTCCTGGCTTCCTAGCAGGGCTCTGCTCCAGGCCAGCTGCCTTCACTCCCCTCCCCTCCCCACCCCGGGGTCTCCGCTCCGGCACAGGAGTCTCTGCATGCTGGGCTTGTGGGTCAGGGGCCTTTCCGTGGGGGGGGGGGCAAGACCCCTCCTCGGATTGGTCCACCCCCAAGCCAGGGAGGCCAGGAGACCAAGGAGTGACCACAGCTGAGATGAGTCTTAAGGAGAAGGAATCACTAAGTGTTTGCGTGGAAGGGAATTGCTCGCTCGCTCGCATTTCCTTCTGGCCTGTTGATCACCTTGACTCAGCACACACCTCCTGGATCCCTTGGTCCACCTGACGGAGGGCGGGATCCACCACCCAGCCTCTCCTGGGGGGAAGGAGACCTGGGGGCGGGGACCAAGCTCCTTCCGGGGTGTGTGTGTGTGTGTGTGAGAGAGAGAGAGAGAGAGCCAGCTCTGATCTCAGGAGTTTGAGGGGATCCTGCCTTCCGCAGCTTGCAACGTTCTGGAGCAGCCCCACTGCTGTGGATGGGGAGCCAAGGGCTTTCTGCAGTCTCCACCCTCCCCACCCCCCTGTGCAGGTTCCTTGGGGGCTCCCTGCATCTGGGGGGGGGCCTGGTGCTCAGCCGTCAGAACAAAAAAAAGCCAGTGGGAAATATTTATTCAAATTAGGACGCTGGTCACAGCACATATGCTGAGTCTGTAAACCGCTTAGAGAGGGCTGTAAAGCACTATAAAGTGGTCTATAAGTCTAAGTGCTATTGTGATATATATAGATAGATAGATTAAGGCCTAGTTTCAGTTGAGGAAATGTGACCATCCTAGACCAGGCCAAGTGCCCGAATGCCGGGGGAATTTCTAGAAGCCTGCTGGCCCTCGGACAGATCAGCCCTCGACAGGCGCCAGCAACACCTGCAGACTATGCCGAAGAGACCACCGACCAGCCCCAAAGAAGGAAGACTCCAGCACCCCCCCGGCCCCCCCACCAGCACCCAGCAATTCCCCAATCAAGGGACTGCCAAAGAGCCATCCGCAAACGGCCCAGCCAAAGAAACCCTAAGACACCCCCCCGCAACCCGACACCGGGACATAAACTGAGAGCAAACCCCACCCCTTCCTAGCACTGATGAGGTTTCCTAGTTGGGTCCTGAAACGACTGCAAGAAAACCAGCAGGCTCAGGGAGCACCTCCTTTCAACCCTGAGCTACCAATAGTCTCCGTTATTAGTAGGACACTAGTCCTCAAGACCTCACCTTTCCTAGCTTCCTTTCCAACAGCAAGAACAACAGAAGTCATCAGTGAGGACGATGAGGGGGCCAGGAGGCTAAAACACGAAGAAGAACGGTTGCAGGAACTGGGCCTGGCTAGTCAGAGAAGGTGTAGGGTGGGGGGGTTGGACTAGATGCCCTACAAAGTCCCTTCCAACCCTGTTAAAGAGTCTCTTTCATGATGGAAAAATTAAAACAATAATTTAAAAATCTGTCAACTCTTCTCCAACGCCCCCTTTTTCTTTGCCTCTCCTTTCTTCCCTCCCCCCCACTGCACACTCTTTCCCCATTTCCCTCGGCTGTCTGCCCCCCCCCCCACCCCCCACCCCCGATACCTAAACAGGCCTCAGAATAAGGCGGCTCTCACTTTCCCCTCCAAGGCGGCCCTTTAAACCCCGCTCCCTTTAAAAAGTTCACCTTGGAAGCTGTAAAGGACAAATAGCAGAAACCGCCTCCTGGCTTTGCATGTATTCCTTGAATTACGACTGCAACGGAGCCCCAAAGTTATGTTGCTAAGTGAGCCATTTGTTAAGCGAGTTTTGCCCCATTTTAAGACCTTTCTTGCCGCGGCTGTTAAGTGAATCATTGCAGATGTTCAATTAGTAACACCGCTGTTAAGCGAGCCTGGCGTCCTGCCCCTGGTGGAGACTGACTCTCTGAGGAAGAGGAGGAACAGCCGACAGGGAGAGGGAGTGGGGCTCCGGAGGTGGTGGTGGAGGCTGGGGAAGGGCAGAGGCTGGCTGGGCAATCGGAGGAGGACCGGGGCCCATCCCCTCTCCATCCTAGGGCACGCAGGGAGGAGAGGATCAGGGAAAAGCCAGGTCTACTCAAGAGGAGATTACCATGACCCTCCTCCTGGCTTGCAGGTGGGAGCTATGGATATAAGTTTGCAACTGTGCAGTTAGAATTTGCAGGAGTCAATTTAGTGTTCTTCTTGAAAGAGATTTATCTTTGCTGGCGTTTTTCCCATGGACTTTTCTCGGTTATTTTCCTGAATGTATGATTAATTATCTTGGCTTTCTTCAGAACTCTCCTCAATGCAGTTTGTTTTCGTTTTCTTTTTGCCTCATTATTTACTTTTGTGACTTTAAACTGCGCCTAATAAAACAGTGAAGTTAAGTTGAAGGGTTCACGGGACTTTAATGTATGTTTTGGGTTATTTTGAGAGACTCCAGTCATCCCACCTGGCTTCTCTGTGGACTTGGCCAGAGAGCTGCCAAAAAGGACCATGTGATCCCTGGACAGGGCGGCTGTCATACACAGGGATCCATGGGGTGTGTGTGTGTGTTGAATTTCTATCACCTGATCCTGGGTGTGTGTGAAACTGTCCTAAGTGTGAAAACCAGCCATAAGTCACTTTTTTCAATGCCATTGTCACTGAATGGTCACTAAACCGACGGTTGTGAGTCCAGGACTACCTGTACCATGATTTAAAAAAAAAATGCACCTTCTGTCCTTCAAACGGCCCCCTCACTGGCTCCACAGGGGTCCTTCGGCGACCCCCCCCCCCCATCGCCTCGATCCAGGCGGGCCTCACGGACTGGGACCACAACGCCCATCTGGCCGGCGGGGGCCGCGGGACCCGAACGGCTCTCGGGGCGTCTGGCGTGGCCGTGGAGCGCAGCGCTGCCCTTTGCGGGCTCCGGGACAAGAGCGGCGCTCACCGCCAAGACCCGGGAGCCGTCCAGGAACGGGCGCAGGAGGCGCGTTGCTTGGACTCGTCCAACGGGGGGGGCGGGGGGGGCTCCGGTGTCCCGCAGCGCGTCGGTGGCCCCAGCTCGGCCCGCTCCCGTCTCGGGAGGGCGGCCGTCCCAGCCGCCCAGGGCCCGCCCTCTCCGGCGCCTCCCTCGGCCCGCCGGCCGGGCGCTTCTTAAGGCGCCGCCGAGCCCGGAACGGCCGCAGCCTCCGCTGGGACAGCCGCGCGGGTCCGGCCGCAGCTCTCGCCTTCCGCCCTCGGGAGGCTCGACGGGCTCCGGAGCCGGGAAGGGGAGCGGAGCGGCCGGCGCGCCACCTGAGCCTCAGGTGCTTTCCCGGGCTCCACCAAAAGGGAGCCCGCGCCCCGGTTCCCCCGCTTGCTTCCCCCCTTTTCCTCCCGCCCGGAGGAGCCGCGGGGGCTTCCTCGCCGGTTGTCCGTCCGTCTCTCTCCCTCCTCTTCATTCGCTACCGTCGGTCGGTCGGTCTCGCATCTCTCGCTTCTCTCTTAAGCGCCACCGCGCTTCCCTTCTGCCGCCTCCTTCTTTCCTCCACTCCGTTCCCCGCACGGTCTCTCCTCTCCCCGCGCCCCGTTCCGCTGGCTCGCCCGTGGCTCTCCCTTGTCCTCCCCCGATTCTGGGATCCCTCCCCTCTGGGGGGAGACGGGGGCCCCCTCCCCTCCCCTCCCCCCAAGGCCGCTCCTTCGGCCCCGCTGCTCCCCTGCCGGACGGGCTGAAGCCGGACCCTCCCCCTCCCTCCCCCCGCTTTCTCCCTCCAGGGGCGGCTGCCTCCTCCGGCCGGGCCGAGGAAGAGGAGGAGGGGACGGCGGGATGGACGCAGGTGAGCTGGCCGCCTTCCAGCCGGCGCCGCGGGCCTTCAGCCTGTGGGACTACGGCGTCTTCGGCCTGATGCTGCTGGTCTCCACGGGCATCGGGCTCTTCTACGGGCTGTCGAGGGGCGGCCACAAGAGCCCCGAGGACTTCTTCACGGGCAGCCGGGCCATGTCGGCGCTGCCGGTGGGCCTGTCGCTCTCGGCCAGCTTCATGTCGGCCATCCAGGTGCTGGGCGTCCCGGCCGAGGCCTACCGCTACGGCGTGAAGTTCCTGTGGATGTGCCTGGGCCAGCTGCTCAACTCGCTCCTCACCGCCGGCCTCTTCCTGCCCGTCTTCTACCGCCTGGGGCTCACCAGCACCTACGAGGTAGGGCGCCCCTCCCCTGGGGCCCCTTGCGCGCGCGGGGGGGGGGGGGTGGGGGGGGGGGGGGGGGGATGGTGGGGGGCGGCTTTTGCCCCCCACCTCTCAATATCGATCTCGAGGACATTTATTCTCCTCCTCACTCGACTCTGGGGGGCTTCCAATCTGATAAAAACCATACCGCAAAAAAGATGAAAACGGTAAAATATTAAAATTAACAAATAAGTAATTAAGACAGTGTGTGTGTGTGTGTGTGTGTGTGTCCCCGATAGTGTGGAGGTGGGGTCTCCTAATTTGGTAACCCCTCCAGGATGACACCCCATCTCCAGTTCGGACCCCAGGCCAATTTCCCTTCCTCTTGCGGGGAGGGGGGAGGTTTTTCCAGAGGCTGCCCCCCCCCCGCACATCCCCCCCTCCCTTTGGACCTCGGCCTCCCTTCCTTTGGGGTCCTGGCATCCCAGGCACCACCCCTCTCTCCTCCTTCTGCTCAGTCCCTTTCCCCCTCCTCTCCTCCCGGGCTGCCTTTGGGGGGGGGTCCCCTTCAGGCCTTCTTTAGGGCCCCTCCCTGGACCCCCAGGCCGCCCAAGCCCCTTCCTCCCACTTAGCCTCAGCTGAGGAAGCTTCTAGCACCCCCCGATTTATTCAGCTGAAATGCTTCGTCTTCTCATCTTTCTAGGGGGCCCAGGGGGGGCCCAGTCCCCACCCCCCCCCCACGCCCCCCCCACCCCCTCCCCACCCCCTCCCCAAGGCCTCAGAGCCAGACCAAGAGGGCCGCCCTGACTGGGTCCAGAAAAAGGGGGCTGCTCCTGCTGCAGAGAACGCTGGGCTGCCCCTCCCCGGGGTCTCCCCCCAGAGCCTCCTGGGGGTGCAAGGCCGGTCGGGGGAACTTTTGTGGAAGGGGAAGGTCCTTCGGCCCTGGATCTCCTGGCTTCCCCACCTTGGAGCAAGACCCCCCCCCCCAAAACCTGGTTGGTCAGCAAAGTGTTCCCAGGAAGCGGCCAGCCTGCTGGACTCCACCACCGAGAGCAGCCGCCAAGGGCACCAGATGTCCTGGAGGGGGGGGGGGGGGGGGCTAGGGGGGGTCTGCTTCTGGGGGGTGGAACCAGTGCCCTGGAATGGCCTCCCTGCCCGGCCAGGCGCCCCCCCTCCCTCCCCCCTCCCTCCCTGCTGGGGGGTTCAGGAAAATGCTGAACCGAGTGGTTTCTCTTGACCGCATCCTCCTCCTCTTTCCTATTTTGTTGTTCCTCCTGGTCGGTTTTGCCGTTTTCCTCGGGGTTGTGTGTGCGATGTTATTGTTTATTGCCAATCACACTGTGGATGTTTTCACTTTTTTGTAGTGTTCGTTGGCCGGTTTAACAAATAAATAACCAGGCACGAAATCCCTCCAGCCTTTTGTCTCAGCCCTTCGGGGGAAGCCTTGGCAAGGCAGAGACCCCCGCAGAGATGCCCTGGGACCAGGGAGGGGGTCTCGGGGGAGGGGGAATCATGCCCTCTTCGGCCCCGACTGCCCAGAGTAACAGCAGCCCCTTCAGTTGGGCCTGGAGCAGAAACCCCCCCCCATAGATGCAGTGGGGGGGGAGGGTCCCCCTGCCAGGAGCTGGGCACTTGCCAGCTGGGCAGAATTACCTGCCAAGGATGGGATGCAGCCTTTGCGTGTGTGTGTGTGTGTGTGTGTGTGTGTGTGTGTGTGTGTGTGTGTGGAACAGGGTCTCCCCTTGGCCCCCACCTCTCCTGCAGCCTAAAGCCAAGGACCTAACTTCTCCCTCCTGGCCAGGGGACTTCCGGGCCTTCGGGAATGGCTGTGGGGCAGGAGAAATGGGGGGGGGGGGGCGCGAGGCAGCGGTCTCCGCAGGTGTTTGCTTTGGCTGGTGCCGATCTGTGCAGAGAAGGTGCCACTCGGCGGTTAACCACAAAGTCAATTGTCTCATTGGGCAACCTTTCACGGGAAGAGAGCCCAAGCGATCTCAGAGCCTTTTGGAAGAAAGAGGAAATCGCACCAATATACCGAACGGGCAAATATGGGTGAAGCCAGAGCCGCGTACTTCCGAACGTAGCTTCTCTTCAGAGGGACGTCTTTCCCACCCGGGCGCACACAAGCGTCACGCAACAAGCGAAGGTGGAGAAAGGCTTGGAGGAGACCTTCCTGGGGCCTCCTCCTCCTCCTCCAAGCGGGGAAACTGAGGCAGGGATCTTCCTTTCCTTTCCGTCTCGGTCTGCCCCCTTTATTATAGTTGACCAATAAGGCGGTCAATACCCCCACCAGGCCTTCCTCCTCCTCCACTTTCCCTCACCATAACCACCCTGTGAGCTGGGCTGAGCTGAGAGAGCGGGGCCGGCCAAAGGTCATCCAGCCGCCTTGCACACCTAAGGCAGGACTAGAACTCCCCATCTCCTGGTTTCTGCCCTGGGGCCTTAACCCGTAGACCAAACTGGCCGGACCGTGTCCTGTTTTCAGCCGGGGCAGGAGATGACCTCTGGGGGTCCCTGCCCAACACGGGCATCCCTAGCTGAGCAGGCTTAACTGGGGGGGGGGGCACGAGGGCACCTTGCATGCTGCTCACCCCCAGGGAGGCTCCTCTCCCCATGGGGGGCCCTGGGGGGGGTCCAGGCTGCCTAACCGGGGGCTTCCCCCCTGCTGGCGCTGCCAGCTGAACCGGGAAGTTGAGAGCCAGGGCTGGCATTTTGGGACGCCCCCTAGAGCCGTGGGAAGCCTCCCTCGGGGTGGGGGGCCCAGGGTGGAAGGGAGGGAGGGGCTGCAGTAGATCCAGGGTTTTTTTTTTAAATAAAAACTTTTATTTCTTTGTAAAATGGATTTGCTGCCATCGCACCTCGAGGCAACCCTGGGCGGCTTACAGAGGCTCCCTTCACCCTCAGCGTTGCCTCGTTTGGCTTTCTGCTGACACAGCAAGAAGCGCAAATTGTTTTCGGAAACTTGAAAGATCAACACAGGAGAAATCTTGAGCGGGGGAGCAGGAAGTGCCCCCCCCCTCCCCGAAGCGTGATGGGATCCAGGGGGAACCTGAGCGGTCTGGGCCCAGAGGGGGTGCGTTGCGTGTGGCGCCCGGGCTGGCAAACAGTTGGTGCCCCACCCTTCTGAAGTTTGGGGGGGTCAGAGTTCATCCTTGGGGAGCCCGGAGGACCCTGGCCCGGGGAGGGGGCTGCTGCCCTCCCCCCAGTGCCTGCCTGCCTTTCACCCCCTGGGGCTTCCCCGACTGGGGCCGAGCCGCTGAGCGATGACCCTGGAAGAGCCCGGATGTTTTCCCAGCTTATCTTCCCTCGGGGAGCAAGCGGATTCTTGGCCCTGAAGGAGCGCCAGGCCGGCTGCAAACAGCCTCTGCCCTGCAGCCTTGGTGGCCCTGCGGTTGCGGTCCGGAGCCAGGCAACGCACAGCCCACGGGCCTCGCTTTGCCCGGGCAGTGGGAGGGCCTGGCAGCTTTCCCTTGGGAGCCCTGGGCGCCTCCCGCCTGCTGGGCCCTTGTGGCCCCTGGCATCGCCCCTGTGGCCAAGGGTCCAGCTGGGCAGGAAGCAAGCCAGAGGGGGCGGGGCGGGGGCTTCCTCTGGCCCTGATGCCCCAGGAAGACCCCCCCCCCAGACAGCAGCAGAGAAGCCCCAGACAGGAGCCCCTTGAAGGAACCATCTCAGGCCTTGCTTGTGGGGGGGGGGGTCCCCAGGGCTGTTGCAGAGGCCCCTGCCTGGCCCTGAGCCCTTCGGGGGTCTCCCGCCAGTCTGGGCAGAGGCAGGAAGTGGCCAGGCTGGCATGTCTCCCCTCCCCCACCCCTTCGGTGCAGGTGGAGAAGTGACCAAGAAGGTATTTTGGAGGTATTTTGCCCGGGTTGGGGGTTTTTCGGGGGGGGGGAAAGCGGGCGCCTGTCTGTGCCCCCAACTTCCCTCCCTGTTTTAGCCAAGGGGCCCCTCCTCTGCGCCTTTTGGGGTTCACCCACAGGCAACGTCCGTGGGGTGGGGGGCATTAATAATAAGAGGCCCCAAGGGAGAGCCAGAGGACGGGGTGGGGGGGGTCCTTGGAAGGCCCCTCCTGCAATTTCTGGAGCCCCAGCAGAGGAGCCGCCCTCGAGCTTCACCCCCCCCCCAAACCGGCCCTTTCCCTGCGGGAGTCTGAAATCTCCCACCCCCCTTCAGGCCAGCCAAGGTCGCCCCCTGCACCCCCCCCTGTTGCTGCTTCCTCCCTCAGCCCCGGGGGGGAGGGGCTGTTTGAGCCAAGCACCAGAACAAGGCCTACAACGCCCCCCCTCCCCTCCCCCCCCCCGTCACCCAGCCCCATGGCGGCTCTGCTGCTGCCCCAGCGGAGGCTGGGAGACGGACGCCCAGTTCCAGCGGAGGCGGCAGCCGGGAGGCAGCGTGTGGGCCTGGCAGCCCAGGCGTCCTGGGGGTGGGAGGGGGGCAAAGGGCTCAGGGGGGGGGGGGGGGGCGAACGGATCTGAAGGGCTCCGAGTGCCCCCCAAGGCAGCAACTGAGAAAGGGCCCCATCTTGCACCCCCTGAGCTGCAAAGCTGGGGCTGGCCTCCAACTCCCATGGTGCACCAACAGATGGACCAAGGACGATGGGAGCCGAGGCCCAGTGCGGGTACTGGGGGGGGGGGGAATAATTGCCATTTGGCTTAACAGGTTTCCCTCCCCCTGCCTGCCTTTTGCCGGTGCATTCAGAAGTGCTCCAGACACCTAAAGGAAGGCGGGAAGGGGGATTTTGACGGCTGTACCCCCCATTTCTTCAGGTTGCGGGGGGGGGGGCTTTTGCCAGGAAGCCTTGCCCTCCAGCTGTTGTCCCGGCCGGTGGCTGGGCTGCTTGCTTCCCCAAAGAGGCTGGAGGCAGGGAAGAGGCTCCCCCCACCCTTCAGGACGGGGCCAGGCGGCCAGAGGGCTCTCGGCTGGGGGCTGGCCTGTCCCCAGGGCCTCTCCAGCCACTTCTCTGACCGCTGGAGCAGCAGCCCTGGAGGGCTTTCCAGGGGGAGAGGCTGCGGGGAGGGGTTGCGGGGGGGGGGGATAGAGCAACCCTGGAGACAGACCTGCCTGCCAGCCCCCCTGCCCGCCCCCCTGGAGCCCCTGGGGGTTTCTGCCCCAAAGGTTGCTGCTTGCCAGCCCACTGGCTTCTCCCAGCTCTGGATGGTGTGTGGCTGCCCTCCCCAGGCATGGCAGAGAGCCGGAGGGGGGGGGGTCTCTAAAGGAGGAAGCCCCCCCTTGGGAGGAGCAGAACCCCAGGCCCCCTATGTGGGGGGAGCGGGGGGGGGGGAACTGGTTGAGGAAACAGCCGGGCGCTTCCTCTTCGTGGAGGGACTGGTGGGGTTTGGGGCCGGATTCTGCCCGGGGGGGGGGGGGGGGGGGGGGGGGGGGGGGGGGGCGTCCCTGCGGCAGGTGGGCTTTTGGGAGCCCGCCGGGTCCGGCCTCCCGCGTCTCTCTTCCGAAGCCCCCGGGGTGCGCGGCGCCCGGCGGAAGGGAGCCGCTGCTGGGAGCGAAGCCGCCGGGGAGGCCCTCGGACGGGGCGGGCCGGCTGCAGCCCCCGCGGCGTTGGGGGCTCCACCTGTGCCGTTGGGACGGTCCCCCCACCTGCGAGCTCTGCGCACCCGAGGGAGAGGAGGCGGGCTGGGAGGGGCGGGGGCCCCAAATACGGGCGGGGGCCGAGGGGAAGGATTCGGCCTCCCGCCGCCTCCGCTCCGCCGCCCTCCGGGTCACGTTGTCCCGAGGGGGCTTTTTCCAGAGGCAACTGGGCTTCCGTGGTTTTCCCCGCCCGAAGACGTTTCGCTTCTCATCCAAGAAGCTTCTTCAGTTCCGACAGAAGCTTCTTGCCTGAGAAGCGAAACGTCTTCAAAGAAACAGCGGGGAAGTCCAGCTGCCTCTTGAAAAGCCCCTTTGGGTGAGATGGGTGTCCTCTCACGGGCAGAGGCTGAAAGGAGCACAGGGGTGCCAAGCTCCCCTGCGTGTGTGTGCGCGTGTGTCCTACTTTTCAGAAGGCCAGGCCCCCTTTTGGGGCATGGGGGGGGCTGGGGGGGCTCTTTAACATTCAGCTCTTCCTTCTCCGTCTTGCCTTGGCAGTACCTGGAGCTGCGGTTCTCCAAGAAGGTCCGGCTGTGTGGCACCGTCCAGTACATCGTTGCCACGGTAAGTGCCGAGGATTGTGCCTGGCCTGCGGTGGGCATTCCCCCCCCCCCCCCCCCCCCAAATCCCCCCCCGCCCTGAAGAGGGCGGTGCTGCCTGGTCAGAGCTGCCTGAAACCAGGAGAGAAGAAAGTGCCCCTCCCCGGGGGGGGGGCTCCCCAACGCCCCCAATAAAGTAACACTCGGAGCCTGGGGGGGCCTTAGGAGCGGAAGGGCAGAAGGGTGACCTGCTCGGAATGGGGACGGCTGGCCAGGAGCCGCTGGGGAGGCTGCGGGGCTGAGGTGCTGCCCCAAGGGGTGCTTTTGTTGGGGGGGGGAATGGAGCCCCAGCCCTCCCTCCGTCCGCCGCTTTGCAGGTTTTAAGAGCCTCCCGGCCTCCCTCAGGTGCTGTACACGGGGATCGTCATCTACGCCCCGGCCTTGATCCTCAACCAAGGTGGGTCCCACCTGCTCCCCACTCGGAACCGGGGTTGGATTCCCACAGCCCCCCCCGCCCCCCATCCCGTCAGCCAGCTGAAGACCCCCGGAGCTGGCCTGGGCCACGGGTCTGACACCCGCCTGTGCCTGCTGGTGTAAGGTCCTTGGGCTCCCCTCCCCATGGACGGCGGGCCTTGTGCGCAGGCAGTTCCTGGGCTGGGGGGGGCGGGGGGGTCAACTCCGCCGGATCTGACCCGCTTTGGGTTTCCAGGCCAAACCCTCCTGGGACTCCGGGGATCCGACTGAGAGGATGGCTTTGATCTGGGAACGGCTTGGGGGGGGGGGCTCCATCAGACTCCGCCTCCGGCCGAGAGTGCCAGCCGTGCCCCCTCCAGCCCCCCCCCTTGGGAAGAGGCACCTCCCTTTCGCCGCCCCTCTGCCCCAGACACGGAGGCGGTGGACGCCCTGGGGAGGCTTTTGTGGGGAAATCTCTGAATAAAGGTTTTTATTTCTCTTCTCCCAGTGACGGGCCTGGATATTTGGGCCTCGCTTCTCTCCACGGGCACCATTTGCACCTTTTACACCACCATCGTGAGTGGCCTTGCAGCCCCCCCCCCGGCCCCTGATCCCCCGCCCCAGGGGCTCACGAGGGGGGTGTGTGTCTGGGCATCTGCGCTCCCTTCTCCCCCCTGCTGGGAACCTTTCGCTGCCCCCCCCAAAGCCCCCCAGCGAAGCTGGCTGAGCCGGACCCCCCTCTTTTCCAGGGGGGCATGAAAGCGGTCATCTGGACGGACGTCTTCCAGGTCTTCGTCATGCTGTCCGGCTTTGTGGCCATCCTGATCCAGGGGACGCTGCTGGTGGGGGGGCCAGGCCAGGTCCTCTCCATCGCCTACAACCACTCCAGGATCAATTTCGGAGAGTAGGTGGAGAATTGGGGCGAATGCCCCCCCCAGCCCCCCTCCCCCCCTTTCTGCCCCTCCGCCTGGGGCGGGCTTGGGAGAGGGGGGGCACCTCTGCCGTAAATGGGGCTCCGCTCGGTTGGACATAGTGCTGGAACGAGGGAGGGTGGACCCCCAAACACTGAATGGGTCTGTTTTCAGTGGGGTCACTTAGGTGAGGCGGAGAAACGAATGAATGGAATGAATGAGTGAGTGAACGAATGAACGAATGCAAGACCATTGTCTTGTTTCTGCTTGGATCTTAAGGAGATTCGAGGTTATAAATTAATTCTATCAGCAACTTATAAGGAGAATTTATATAAAATGTTTTATCGCTGGCACTTACCACCAGCGAGACTTGCAAAAATGTTTCCCAATAATTTGGCAAGCTGTTGGAAATGTGGCTGTGAGCAGGGAATCTATTATCTTATGTGGTCGACCTGCCCAAAAGCAAAAAAAATGTTGGTGGAAAATTAGAAATTGGCTAGAAGAAATTATAAAAGTTAAAGTTGAATTGAAACCAGAGATATTTTTAATAGGAATTTTAAAACAAAAAAATAGTAAAAAAATCATTATATATTATACTCCATATATTAACAGCAGCAAGATTTGCCTTTGCCCAAAATTGTAAATGCAAAAATACTCCTCCCAACTTCAGGATTATAAAGAAAATTTTGGAACGTGCAGAAATAAGACAGTTGTCAATAGAACTTAAAAGCAAAGAGGAGCCAAAGTACTATGAGATCTGGAATTTTGGGTACAGTTGGTTGGAAGGTAGACACGAAAGGAACAAAACAAAGTCAAATAAAAAGGTCTGATGGAAATTAGCAACATTACATGTAACTATGTTTGTAATATATAATTAGATGAAATTTTGTGTTATATATTAATGTAATAAGTGTGAATGATTATTCTACATAATTTGAGAGATGCCGGATTGAGTGAACACTTTCGTGCTCACGTTGCGATAAGCGGAGTGTTTGGTTTTATTGTATTTGTATACAATTGTTTAATAAAGTATTTTTATAAAAACGAGAATGAGTGAGTGAGTGAGTGAGAGTGAATGAATGCAAGACCATTGTCTTGTTTCTGCCTGAATCTTAAGGAGATCGGAGGGTCACATTTCACGCCGGATCCCTTAGATTTGTTTTTCCAACGGGGGGGGGGGGTGCTTGGTGGGCGCCCCTGGGGACGCCCCATCCTCCTGACCCTCCCTCCCTCCCTCTCTGGGCCCCCCCAGCTTCAACCCGGACCCCCGCAGCCGCTACACGTTCTGGACCTTCCTCTTCGGAGGGACGCTGGTCTGGCTCTCCATGTACGGGGTCAACCAGGCCCAGGTCCAGCGCTACGTGGCCTGCAAGACGGAGAAGGAGGCCAAGCGGTGAGTCGCCCCAGGAGCTTTGCTTCTGCCCCGCATCAGCCGGGAGCCCCTGGGGCCAGAGGCCGGTGGACCCCAGCCCCCCCCCCCACACACACACTCCGGGTGGTCTTGGGAGGGTCTCCAGCCACCTGCCAGCCCCGACTGGTGCTGCTCCGGAAGCAGCGTGGCTGGTGGCAAAGTCGAGCGTGGTGCCCGCCCCCCCTTGCTGCCACTGGGCCACCGGATTGGGGCGAAGGTCCAGGGTGGCTTGGCGGGAGGCCAGGCAGCCATGTCTGCCCAGGGCGGAGTGAGACTGCGGCCCTGCTTATCGCCTCCAGCCCCCCCCCCTTCCAATCTTTCCTGCTGCTGCGGGTATCAGCAGAGGGTGGCCGGCCCCACCCAGTGCCCCCCCCTCCGCCTGAATATACAAACACAGGCAAGACCCCCTCAGCCACCCCGCCCGTCATGGGGGGGTCACGGGGCTATCGGCCTCTGCCCACAAAGGCATGTTTTCCTTCCAGGCCAGGCGCTCTGGGCGGTGGGTCAGCTGGCTGGCTGGAGGGAGGGGCGGGGCTGAGGGAGAGTGGCCTCCCTCCCTTCAGCCTTCAAGGGGCCTCTCTCCCCAGCTGCCCCCCCGGCCCCCCCAGTCTGACTGGACCCTCCAGCCGTGTTCTGGGAATCGTCTTATTTTTACTTATTGTGCTGACTTCTGCCGCCCACCTTGGGCCGGACCACCCTTGTCCTCGGAGTCCTTGCGGCTCTGAAGGCAGCTGGCCGGAGGGGAGGGACGCAGGCCGGCTCGGGTGGGTCCAGTTTGGGCAGGTGCTGGGGGAGGACCTGCCACCCCCGGGCTGCTGGGAGCAGCGTCTGTAGGATTGACAGGCCGGGGGGGGGGCACATCCTAGGGCTGGGCCACGGTGGGCAGGGGGCGTGTGATGCCCCCTTTCCCCACTGACCCCCAGGCCCGAACGAGGGCTGTGCCCAGCGGGCCCTTCCCATGCCAGGGCAGACTCTCCGGCCCCTCGGCAGCCCTCCCCCCCCGCCGGTGTTCCGGAAGGCGCTTGGCGTGTCTGGGGTGGGGAAAGCAGGGCTGTGCCCCTCCCTCCCTGACCTCTCTTCTTGGGCCCCCTCCCCACAGGGCCCTCCTGGTCAACCAAGTGGGTCTCTTCGTCATTGTCTCCTGCGCAGTGGGTTGTGGCATTGTGATGTTTGCGCTCTACAAGGACTGTGACCCACTCTTGGCCGGATACATCTCGGCGCCTGACCAGGTACGGCCCCTGAGCTGGGGGGCGGGGGGGGCGGGGGGGCAGTGGAGCATGGGGGAGAAGCGGGGGGAGGATTGGGCAGGTGGAGGAAAGGCGAGGAGAGTGACGTGAACCCCCGAAGGGCAGAGCGGGGCTGCCAGCTCTCTTTCTTGGGGAGGGGAGGGGGGGGGCCTCGAGGGAGGAGCTTTGGGGGCTCAAGAGCAAGTGGGTGCCCAGGCCGCTCATTTCCCTGTCGGGGGACTTTGCTGCCCCCCCCACGAAACAAAGGCAGAGCCAGGTGGGACACGAGACCAGGTGTGAGGCCAGGGCCGGAGGCCAGGCAGGGAGGGCGACCAACCCCTGCATCACCAGCCCCACCTGGCCCCAGACGCCCCTTCCTCCACCTCCACCTGCCCCTGTGTAGACCCCTCCCCAAGACCCCCACCCTGTCTCCTCTGCCCCCAAACTGGATGTGCCCTGGGCGGGGTAGCTGAGAATTCAGGTGCCCTCCCACTCGGCTGGCACCGTCTCCCTCCCTCCCTCCCTCTTGTGCCCTGTGGCCCGGGGGGGGGCTTTGCCAATCCTCCCCACTCACGGCTGTTCCTCCTCCTCCTCCTCCTCCTCCTCTTCCTCCCTCCCAGTACATGCCCTACCTGGTCCTGGACATCTTCGAGGGCTGCCCAGGGGTGCCCGGCCTCTTCCTGGCCTGCGCTTACAGTGGCACTTTGAGGTGAGTCTCCGGTGTGGGGGGCAGAGGCGCTGCCAGGCCACCGGCTGCCCCCTCCCCCCCCGTCTGATGCCCTCTCGCCCTCCTCTCCCGCAGCACGGCCTCCACCAGCATCAACGCCATGGCGGCCGTCACCGTGGAGGACCTGATCAAGCCCCACATGCCCACCCTGTCGCCACGGAGACTCGCCCTGGTCTCCAAGGGGCTCTGTGAGTGGCAGGCGGGGAGCCATCGAAAGGGGGAGCCCCACCCTTTCCTTTCTTGGGGGGGGGGAATCAGGAGAGGGAGGGGTGAGAGCGTCAAGGCCCAGGGGATTGAGAGACACCTCTCTTTCAGATTCTGGGGAGGGGGCCAGGAGAGATCACCTGGAAACCACACCCTACTTTGGGGATGGAACCCAGCACAGAATCACAGAGTGGAAGGGACCTTGGAGGTCTTCTAGCCGAGCCCTCTGCTCAAACAGGAGACCCTAGACCATTTCAGACAACCAGTGACGTCTTAAAAGCCTCCAGCGATGGGGCACCATGAACTTCTGGTGGCCAGCAGTTCCACTGGTTCATGGGGAAGTTTCTCCTTAGTTTCGGGCTGCTTCTCCCCCGGGTTATTTTCCAGCCCCCCAAATACTGGAAGACGGCCATCCGATCACCCCCGAGTCCTTTTCCTCATTAAACCGGGCAAACCCAGTTACGTTTTAGCCCCCGGGGATCTTTGCTCCTCTTCTCTGCACTCTTTCCAAAGTCTCGCCATATTTTTCCTCTCGTGGGGACCAAAACTGGATGCAGGATTCCAGGGCGGCCTTGCCAAGGGCCTGAGTGCCTCGCGTGGCACCTTGATTCTATCCCGTGCCAGGGAAGGAGAGCGATGGGCGGCCCCCGTTTGCCTGTAGGCAAGAGGGGTCAGAGGGGAGAGGCGATAACGGCCTCCGTATCTGAAGGCAGCACCAGGGCAGTGGGTCAAAAGCAGAGGTTCTTGGGCGTGGGAGCCGGTAGCCAGGGGAACCGCCTGCTACTTTGAAGTTCTGAGCTCTCCTTCCCAGCACGTCTCCAAACAGAGGCGGGGATGGGGGGGGGGCAGAGATTCTCTCCTGGATCACACATTAAACGGAGGGGTGACTAGATGGCATCTAAGGTGCCTCCTTGCTCCCAAGATTTGAGAATCTCCAGTGTTTCTGGCTCTTGGGAGGCTCGAAGACCCACAAACCGCCTGCAGGTGGGCTTGTTCCAAAACGGCCCACCATACACACATTTGTATTCCCCCCCCCACAAACACCCCCTCCCATTTTCTTCTGCTTTCAGTTAAGAGGTGTGTGCGTGTGTGTGTGTCTGTCTGTCTGCCTGCCGTTTCCTTCCAGCCTTAGTTTACGGCACGGCCTGCCTTACCGTGGCGGCTCTTTCGTCCTTGCTTGGAGGCGGTGTGCTGCAGGTACGCAACTCCAGAAAGCCAGCCCCCCCCCGAGGAAAGCCCCTCCTGCACCCATGGTGGGCCCCGCACTGCCTCCCCCCTCCCCTCCCCATTTGCACCCCCCCACCCAATGTTTCCCTCCTAACAGCAGCAGAGACCCTCCTCCCCAGGAGGAAGGCCAGCTGCCCACCCCCCAGAAATGCCCCCCCCTTCTGTGTGTGGAGGGGGGGGGG